AATTTATTTGTCTTGCACTGCTGAACATAAATATTTGAACACCTGAGAAAATCAGTGTTAATATTTGGTACAGAAGCCTTAGTTTGCAATTACAGAGGTCAAATGTTTCCTGTAGTTCTTGACCAGGTTTGCACACACTGCAACAGGGATTTTGGCCCACTCCTCACCACACAGATCTCCTCTAGATCTGTCAGGATTCGGGGCTGTCGCTTAGCAGCACTGAGTTTCAGCTCCCTCCAAAGATGTTCTATTGGATTTAAGTCTGGAGACTGGCTAGGCCACTCCAGAACCTTGATATGCTTCTTACGGAGCCACTCCTTGGTTATCCTGGCTGTGTGCTTCAGGTCGTCATGTTGAAGACCCAGCCACAACCCATCTTCAATGCTCTGACTGAGGGAAGGAGGTTGTTGCTCAAAATCTCACAATAAATGGCCCCATTCATCCTCTCCTTAATACAGTGCAGTCGTCCTGTCCCCTTCCCAGAAAAGCACCCCCAAAGCATGTTACCACCCCCATGCTTCACAGTAGGGATGGTGTTCTTTGGATGCAACTCATCCTTTTTCCTCCAAACACGACGAGTGAAGTTTAGCCCAAAAAGTTCTACTTTGGTCTCATCTGACCACATGACTTTCTCCCATGCCTCCTCTGGATCATCCAGATGGTCATTGGCAAACTTCAGACTGGTCTGGACATGTGGTGACTTGAGCAGGGGAACCTTCCGTGCAATGCATGATTTGAAACCATGACAGCGTAATGTTCTACCGACAGTGACCTTTGAAACTGTGGTCCCAGCTCTCTTCATGTCGTTGACCAGCTCCTCCCTTGTAGTTCTGGGCTGATTCCTCACCTTTCTTATCAGTGATACCCCACGAGGTGAGATCTTGCATGGGGCCCCAGTCCGAGGGAGACTGACAGTCGTCTTTAGACTCTTCCATTTTCTAACAATTTCTCCAACAGTTGATCTATTTTCACCAAGCTGCTTGGCAATTGCCCCGTAGCCCTTTCCAGCCTTGTGGAGGTCCACAATTTTGTCTCTGGTGTCTTTTGACAGCTCTTTTGTCTTGCCCATGGTAGTAGTTGGCGTCTGACTGTGGGGTGGACAGGTGTCTTTAAAGAGCTCAGACAGGTGCTACTAAGTTAATGAGTGGAGTGGAGGTGGACTTTTTATAGGCACAGTAACAGGTCTTTGAGAGCCAGAATTCTTGCTGTTTCCTAGATGTTCAAATATTTATGTTCAGCAGTGCAAGACAAATTCTTTAAAAATCATAATGTGATTTCCCGAATTTTTTTTTTTTTTTTTTTTTTTTTTTTTTTTTTTTTTAATTCTGTCTCTGAGTGGGAATGCACCTACAATGTGAATTTCAGACCCCTCCAAGATTTCTAAGTGGGAGAACTTGCAAAATTGCAGGGTGTTCAAATACTTCTGTTTCTCACTATATCTAATGCCTTGGAAATTCTTTTGTACCCTTCTCCTGACTGATGCCTTTTTAACAATGAGATCCCTCTGATGCTTTGGAAGCTCTCTGCAGACCATGGCTTTTGCTGTAGGATGCGACTAAGAAAATGTCAGGAAAGACCTACTAGAACAGCTAAACTTTAGGGTTAATCAGAGGTACTTTAAATGGCGGCAGGTGTGTACTGACTCCTATTTAACATGATTGCTTTAAGGCTAGGTTCACATCTGTGTGGGTGGTGCCGCTGCAGATTCGCACGAAAATCCATGTAGCCATACAGAGGAACGCGGACCCGCGGGCGGGTGCCGTTCTAATGGTCATGTCGCCCGTACTGGAAAACGCAACCGTACTGGGAACAGAGGTTCCCATGCGGGCTGCGTTTTCGGATAAGTACAGGGACTTCTTCCCTGTGAATCTTGGGGCAAAAGTCCATTCAAATGAATGGGCTCTCGTGCCTGCGCAAAATGTGGCCCGCATATGTGAACCAGGGCTTATTCTAAACACAGCAAGAGTGTGTGTACACTTGTGCATCACATTTTAGTTTTGCTAAAAAAAAATTTGTTCTTTAATTGATTTGTACAGTTTATAGGTCACATTAAAGGTGGGAAGTTCTGAAATGATTTGTCTATTTTTTTGTTTAGGTTTTTTTTTTTTTTTTTTTACATCACAGAAACCTGACATTTTAACAGGGTTGTGTAGAATGTTTAAATACACTGTGTATGAATGTTCTTTCCTTTTATTGTGCACTACTTTACTTTTTCCTCTTCCTGTTCATTACTTGCATGTTTGTGTGGGATTTTTTTTTTTTTTTTTTTTTTTTTTTCCCGCTCATTCCTGCCTGCCCTTCAGTCTTTCTGCTACACAATTTTTCAATCCCTAATAGGCCTCATGCACTCTGGATGTTTTTTGCAGGTGCTTCTAGGGGCATCGGGTGTGTTGTGTGCATGTTAGCCTATGTGTCCATGCACACTTTTAGAAGCAGAAAACCCACTACCAATGCATCCAGGAGCAGCAGTGTTTCGGAAGAAAAAAAGCTTGTAAACACATTTAGTGCTTGAGTGTTAATTTATTTCAATGGCCAGAATAAATTATTATTCTGCCCAAATAAATGCCTGTAAATGCACCTGTTTTTTACAAGCATCAGGATTTTTTCTGCTGAATCTTTGCTTTCAGGGGGGAGGGGGCGAGTCTTAGGAGAATTTGCTAATTGTCCAGTGATCTATGTTGTGACACCACCTGAATGCAGCTAAAGCCTTTAGTCTAAAATGGAGGAACCCCTATCCTCCCACAACCTCTGTGTAGCTAAGCAAGGTTGAGGATATGGCTGGAGGATTTGCTTCTTTCCTCACAAAACAAGCCGGAAATGTGTATTAAACCTGGCTTTACTGGACAGCCTTTCCTTTCTTAGAGGAAGGTAAAATTTTGTTTGCTGATGCAGATAAAATGCTCATGATAGACCTTCATCCAGTTGAGGTTAAGGGCCTCTATTTTCTTCTCTTCTCCCCCTTTTTTTTTTTTTTTTCTCCTCCCTCTCTCCATACCCATTTTTCCCATTCTTCTCTGCCCATTTTTGTTTCCCAATAGTAAACTCTTGATTGCCACCGTATATAGATAACAGATTTTCTTTCCACCTTTTTATTTATCTACAGACTGACCGTACGGTGCTACCCCTCCCTTGACTAAGCTTGCAACTTTATTCTGCACTTTACATTTTCTACGGAACAAATGTTTTGTTACCCTTCACCGTGTATGTGCTACTCAACAGAATGTCTTGCTTTTAATGGATGTTTTGTACAATCCAAAACATTTTTAAACACTTGATCTCCGCCCTATAGCAGATTTACTGCTACAGGGCAGACATCCTGTGTAAAATCATGTATATAACATCATTTTGCATTTCTGCCGGAACGCTGCTTCTGTGTTTGGAGACAGCAGAATTCAATTAACTGGTGCTGGCCAATAGGTGAGTGCTGTCACCTGTTTTTTATATCAACATAGCAGAGCTGTGTTATGTCAACGGCGATCTGCTAGGTTTTATTCGGGGAATAAAATCTACCAGATTGCCCAGTAAACAGTACACACAAACACTAGCTATGCACACAATTTAGCCTTTGATTGCCCGAGATGTTTAACGCCTTTCCAGCCAGTGTCATTAATACAGTGAGTGTATTTTTAGCACTGATCACTGTATTGGTGTCACTGGTTCCCAGTGTCAGTGATGGTGTCACTGTCCACCACAATATCTTAGTCTTGCTAAAAGTCAGATTACCCCATTACTAGTGTAAAAAGTATGTGTGTATGTATATACAAATACTTATTTCCTTCACTGTATATTTATACCAGTATTTGTAGACACGAACATTACACAAACCAATATACGCTGTTTGGGATTTTTTCTTTTAATTGGCTATGTTTTATAGTCGAAAAGTAAAAGATATTGAAAAAAGTGAAAATTCTGGAGCTGCTAAACTAAATACAAATTCCAAATACAATAAATGAGATTCTGAATCGCTCACACCATACACGTACCCATACAAATGTGTTAAATATAACAAAATTACAATCTAGTGCAGTGCTCCTCTAACAAAACTTTTAAAATATCTGCGAATAAGTGTCCATGCATCAATATATACTATATATAGATAGAAATATAAAAAATCTCCACTGTTTGGAAATTGCCTCTCTGTACAAACATCGTGCCATTTCTACAAGCCACTGTGTATACACTTCCACCTGTTGTGCTTTCACCTGGTGTATGACCAAACCGCTAAGTGAGGTCATGTATAGCATGTGTCCCTTTAGGTGGACTATGATAGGATGGTTGTGATGTCCAGTGAGTCTGGGTCTCCTTCACTGTCCTAGTTTTCCTCCTCCATCAGATCAATGCCAGAAAAGATGACCAAAACAGTGCTTTTATCCTTACAAAACATTTATAAAATATGCTGTATTCCACTTGCATGTAAGAGGTGTTAGCGCTTTGTACAAAGTAACTCCCAAAGAGTGCTGCTATCGTGTCATTCGTTTGAGGGAATTTGTAAGTAAAAAAATTATTTGGTTTTTTTTTTTTTTGTTTTTTTTTTCTCCCCCCCCCCCCCCCATTTTATAGCACAAAAAATAAAATGCAGAGGTGATCAAAATACCACTGAAAGGAAGCTTTGTGCTGAAAAAAGACATACATTTCATTTATGTACAGCATTACATGATTGCCCAATTATCAAAGTGACGCAGAGCTGTATCACAAAGAATGGCCTGGTCAGGAAGGGGGGGTAAATCTTCCTATGGCCAAGTGGTTTAAAGCAAGATCGACCCCCACCTTGCGTAAAGTTTAATTTTAAAAAAAAAAAAAAAAAGGAAAAATTGCATCAAAGGCTAAATTGGTTGAGGTAAAGTATATGCTGTGGTAATTCAAAAGATGTGCTTATATATACTCGAGCAAAGGCTCGCCCTTCTGCTTTTGGTATATTCGTTACATTTTTATCTACTTTCTGTAGTATTTGGATTTTGGGTAGTGCATTCCATATGTTAAAATGGTATTCTTGCTTGTAGACCTGGTGACGACTGGAAGAAGACGTTAAAACTCCCTCCAAAAGATCTTCGAATCAAGACTTCGGTAAGACTTTATATTAAATTCAGGACTGGACAGATTTGGTCACTGTGATGGGTGGAAGGGTTTTGGCTACCTTATAAGTTACTGTCCAGTGTAAACATTGCTTTTACTTATTTCCCAAATCTGTACTGCACCTGCAGAGAAACAAGTGCCAAGCACTAGAAACATGCTGTGTGGTGTTTTTTTTGTTTTACTATTTTATATTCCATTGACAGAAAAGAATAGAAATTAGATAAAGCGTGGATATACAGCTGTAAACTATCAAGTTGAAAGGGGATTTGTGTAATTGTTCGTACAAGATTGTTGTTTTTTTTTTGTTTTTTTTATATTGGATAGTGGTTTTTTTTTTTTTTTTTTTTTTTGGTTTTTTTTTTTGGTTCTCAACTCTAGCACTAAAATGTAGTGACCTTCCGTAGCTAGATGTGTTTTCATTGGAAGTATGGTTCTCGGCAGTAACTGTTGCAGGTCAAAAGTCAGATCCAAAACCAAATGGCTTGTTTTTAACAATTTTTTTTTTTTTTTTTTTTTTTTTTCTCCCCACATGGATAGGTTGAAAATGTTTGCTCATTGAATTTTATGGCGTAGCAGCGTTGTCACCCTAGACCATCCTGTCTCAACCTTTTCAACACAAAGGAACCCTTGAAATAACTTTCTGGTCTTGGGGAACCCCGCTAAAAATTATATCTAAAACTCCTGATATGTTTGTGATGGTCAATGGGAAGAATTGCCCCCTTACAGATAACTACAAAGATCAATGGTGTCAGTGGGAACTTATCTGAGAGGCAGAAATTGTTCAAGGAATCCTAGGGTTCCATGGAACCCTGGTTGAGAAACCCTACCCTAGGCTATTTAAATTTTTGTTTACACAGTACCTTTAAATTTTTTTTTTTTTCAACTTTATTGCTACCACAAGGGATGCACAACATCTCATACGATTGCATGGGCTGTGACAAGTCCTCTTTATGGTCTGAGACCCCAGATCTCTCCTCTGGCCTCCAAAGCAGCAGATCGGACTGAGATCAGTTCAGACAAACCAGAAACTGGGAGCAATGAAGATTTAATAATTTCTGATGTCTTTCACAAAATTTCTTACTGTGCAGGGAAGCCTATGCTGCCAGTCGCATTCTTACTGGGCTGCCTGATGGGATGGGAGAGCCTGGTAAAGGAAGGGGGTGAGACACCCCCACTCATTACTTTTACAGTGTGCAGAATCGCCTACTGAGAAACTGTCGGCATGATTGTAGCCCCAACCATGATCTCACTATAACTAGCTCAAACACAAGAATGTATATGTATGTATGGCAGTATTGAAGTGCTGAGAAATGTAGTCATCTGAGGGGTTTTTTTTTCCCTTCCCCCAAGCTATAAACCTGTTGCGAATGTGGAAAAGGCGACTAAGGCATTTACCTTCTAGATTGTTTTGGGGTTTTATGCAGGATTTGATTTTTGCACTGTTGCTTAGCTTGACTTGCCCAGGTTTGAGACTGAATTAACTTTTTAATTCTAAGTTTTAAAAGTCAGTTTTTAATTTTTAATTTTTTTTTTATATATATCTTCAATTCAGTTTCAGTAGTAAATTGGCCTTCAATATTTTCTTTCAGGATGTCACCTCCACAAAAGGCAATGAGTTTGAAGATTATTGTTTAAAAAGAGAGCTGCTCATGGGGATTTTTGAAATGGGATGGGAAAAACCATCTCCAATCCAGGTTGGTAAAGTGAAAATCTGGCCTCAGACTCTACGCATTAGACCTTGACAATAATCACATCACTTGTTTGCTCTTTAGGAGGAGAGCATTCCTATTGCTTTGTCTGGTAGGGATATCCTGGCTAGAGCTAAGAATGGAACTGGCAAGAGTGGAGCCTACCTCATTCCCTTACTTGAACGGCTGGACCTAAAGAAGGACTGCATACAAGGTGGGTACAGATTCATTACTTCTACTGGATGTTTTTTGCCAACAGACAAGGTTTTAGTGGAATATCTAATGGTAACAAAATTGCGGCAATGCGCTTTTTGTTTAATTGCAGTTCAACATGCATTTTAGAAGTTTACATCCTTATTAAAATTTCTTTTTTTTTTTTTTACATTTTAGCAATGGTGATTGTACCGACTCGAGAACTTGCACTTCAGGTCAGTCAGATCTGTATCCAAGTTAGCAAGCACCTTGGAGGAGTAAAGGTCATGGCAACAACTGGAGGCACCAACCTAAGAGATGATATAATGAGACTGGATGATACAGGTAAGCAATATCTTCACGAGATCAGAAGGTGTTTAGTATCTTCTGCAAAATCGAATCCTTCATATGTAATTGTCTAAATTGCTCCAAAGTAGTGCAGTTTAAATAAAGGGGTTACTTCCATTTAATTCACTTTTACTGGTTTTAAAGGAAAGGTTCACCTTTTAAAAAAAAAAAAATAAATGCAAACTTTTTCAGGTAGTTCTACAGACAGTACAGCTGGCTGCCTGTACCTAGTACTGGCACAGTTACTGAATTGCAGAAAGAATCTCTGAACGACAAGAGTGCTCATTGGTGCTCTCAGTTCATTGAGAACTAGAAGTTGATGGTACTTTTTAGTTCATTCATTCAAAAAATTATGTATAAATGTGGGCGGAGCCCTAAACAGCCATGCTGTTTTTTAAATTGTGACAGCAGGTGCGGGACATACCACCTGCTGTCACAAGGAGAGGGGGATCGGGGAAGAGGAGGCAGGAGCTGGAACATAAGTTCCAAAGGTTAACTTGTCTTTTAAATTTTCCTAAATTGCATTTGAGAACTTGGGCTTCAGTTTACCTAGGAAGCAGAATATCAAAAAAGCTAAGAAAATGCTTGCCTCAAGCTTTGAGCATTTCACCCTTCTGGCACTGATAACATTGCTGATGTAAGTCAGTTGATCTAAAAATTTAGAACAATGTTAAGGAAACTGTCTTTTGTCTAGTTTCCTAAAACAAGATTTAAATGCAGCAGTAGCACGTGGCGTATGTTTATGTAAGTACACAATTTACAATTCAAGTGGCTTACCACAGAGTAGCACTGCCTGTCCTGATTTTTTTTTTTTTTTTTTTTTTTTTTTTTTTTTTTTTTTTCTTTTTCATGAAATTGACCTCTCTAAAAGGACCTTCTATCACGTAATTAGTGAGGAGGTAGACCTAAAATACCATGGGTTGAGGTGGGGTGGTCAAATACTAAAATCAGAGCAGCTTTGCATAGTCCTCTTCTAGACTCAGCCTTTTGAAATTGAAAGCTAGAAGCAGATTGGCTGCCGTGCTTTTCATTCTGCCTTCTTCAGTCTTAATAAATCCCCCAGCTTGTGTGCAAAGTTGCCCACCTAGAGTTGGGTGAACCTATATTGGGGTTTGTTGCATACAGTAAAACAGCTGACTCAAGTCCAACAATAGTTATGTTGCTGTTACTTTTTCATGCAGTCTTGCTCTCTTCCATAATATATATATTTTTTTTTATTCCATACCTGCAAGAAGGTGCATACTTTTTTAGCATCCTGTATCTGTGTTTCCATCCTAGTATGGGTTCCCTTTTAAAAGGACTGTTAAGATGGGTCTATGAAGGCTAACATTTAAAGCTGCCAACTTTGATCTCATTCTTCAGTGTTCTGTAAATTTTTAACCTGGAATGAAGTGCATGGTGGTTTGGGTCAGTGACACGCAAAGTAGTGAATCTGAGAGCCAGCCCCTCTTTATATTCAGGTAGATTCACATTTTTAATTCCCTCAAGACCCTGCTGTTAAACTCAAGGTATTTCTACTGTAAGTTAAGATCCACTTTGCAAATGTTTGTCTAGCATAATTTCTTCTTTATTTTGTAGTTCATGTGGTAATAGCAACTCCGGGGAGGATTCTGGACCTCATCAAAAAAGGCGTAGCTAAAGTGGACCATGTTCAGATGATAGTTTTAGATGAGGTAAGGATATTCTCAAAGCCTGTAAGTGTTTCCTCACTGAATATCAAACATTGGCGGGGTGGCTTTCTGTTAACCTGTTTTTAAATGAAAAATATTAGTTGTACAGAAAAGTCACTTAAAACTTTTTTTTTTTTTTTTTTCTTTTTCTCTGTTTTCCAAAGCCCCTAGTCAAAGCTGTTCTGGAGACAAAAATTCCTGAATGCCAGAATGCTTGGGCTTTAAAAGTGCAATCAGTGTTACAAATGTGATTTTTATATACCAATTTCATCAATATGAGGGGTTTTTAAAAAAACATTTTTTTGTGTTAGTGTTTTTCAAATATTTTTTCATAAATTTTGGTTTTACTTGAGCAGTTTGAAACTGTCTGTGCTAATGAAGTTTTTAAACTAGATTTCAGCAGCTGGCATTCAGGATTGATCTATAAATCCACCAGACATCAGGCAGTAGATGCAATGCAGCGCTTCCACAACTATTAAGACCAAATTACTCGCAGGTCCAAATAGAACACCTGTGTGCTTCCACACCTTGCAGCAGTGATAGTCATGTGTAAGCTCATCGCTAACCATTAAGTGGTGTACTAGAGGAAGGATCCATGCACACTGGGCTTAAACGCTACTTCTACAGGAGTCTTGGGTTTTGTTTGTGTTTTTTTTTTTTTTTTTTTTTTTTTTTTTTTTTTTTTTTTTTTTTTTTTTGGGCATGGACCCTAAAGGCAGTTTTTAAGCTCCTAGAAGCTATTAGCATTTGTTTTTTTTTTTTTTCTGTTGAATATGACACCAGCCCAACATTGATTTATTAAAGTGAAAGATTGCATAGCACTGCAGTGCTGTGACTCATTGGCATCGGCTGTGATGTGTAAAAGCAGCCACAATGCTGAGTGAGCAGACTTTATAATGAATAGTCAGCACTGCCTGTCGGTTCAAAATGGTAAAAGATCACTCAGAGGTGCAGCTCTATGTAATCTGTCAGCAGCTGCTTTTACACATATTTGGCACCAGCAGATAATTTACACAGAGCCGCAGCTCTGAGTTATCTTTTACTGTTATGATTGAAAGTGGCGCTGATTGTTCATCAGGGAAAAACCAGGTTAATCTGAATGGGATTTTTTTAATGCGCTTCCTATCTCATGGGGCCTTTCTGGGGAAAAAAAGACCTCATGCACATTTTGGCACAAAAACTTGTAAAAGTTTAATCTATCCATTGAAATGATTTAACACGAAAGTGCTAAACGTGCCTATCGTTAATGTGCATTCAGGCAAGTTTACACATGTTTAGAAGAATGAAGTGTTTTCTGCCAAAATGCCACTGCTCCTGGAAGCACTGGCAGTCCTCCAAAAGCCTGTGTGCATGGTCTCAGTCTAACATGCAGGGGGAGGGAAAAAATCACTGCTGGGGCAGCACAGTGGCTAAATGGTTAGCACTTCCGCCTGGCAGTACTAGGGTTGTTGGTTTGATTCCCAACCACGGCACCACCTGCCTGGAGTTTGCATGTTCTCCCTGTGCCTCGGGGTACTCTGGTTTCCTCCCACACTCCAAAAGCCATGCTAGTAGGTGAATTGGATCCTGTCCCTAGTATGTGTATGCAAGTTAAAGACCTTAGATTGTACGCCCCTTGAGGGTTAGGGACTGATGTGAATGTATAATATATATGTAAATCGCTGCGTAAATTGACAGCGCTATAGAAGTACCTGAAATAAATGGCCCCTAAGAGCAGCCGAAAAATATCCAGTGAGGTCTGCGTTCTAGTGCAGTAGTCTTTTAGGCAATGTGGCCCTTTCCCAGCCCTCTTCAAAGTCTGCCTTCCTGTGCCTGGTTTGCCAACCCCTTTTTTGTGGTTTGCACTGCATGGCCTCTTCAGACTTCTAGCATGGCTGTACTGTCCTGCCTTCTAGCCTGATCGTAGTTCAGACCTTCCACAGAAGTGCAAAGTGGTGGCTACAGACTTTACATAGGAATGAATAAATACTTCAAGCTCATATGCATGGAAGTATAGAGGAGCCTAGCTGAAAGTACTTTAACCACTTGCCTATCAGGCACTTGTACCCCCTTCCTTACCAGGCCAGTTCTCCGCTTTCACCGCTGTCGCACTTTGAATGACAATTGCGCGGTCATGCAAGATTGTACCCATGACATTTTTAGCATTTTTCTTTTGGTGGTATTTAATAATCGCTGGGGTGTTTTTTTTTTTTTTTTTTTTACTTTTTTTTTTTACTTTTTTTTTTACTTTTTTTCGCTATAAACAAAAAAATTGCAAACCAATTTGAAAAAAGTTTTTGTTTCTATTATAAAAGTTTGCATAATTTTTAATAAAATTTTGCATGGGTGGATGGCACGGATGATTGGTGCTGATCCCTGCTCTGACAATTGCTGGCTCTCAGCAGTACTTTCCTCACGGTCTGACAGCATGAGGAAAGTGCAGCCGAGAACCAGCAATTGCATTTCCCTGTGATCAGTGTGTCATTGGACACAGCTGATCACATGGTAAAAGACCGCCGTGATTGGCCTTTTACCACATCACGTGATCAGCTGTGTCCTACGGACACAGCGATGGCGGAGATTGCCGGGGGCGCACAGGAGAGCGCGTTCTGGGAGGACATCATGACTCTCTCTCAGAACTGGCCGGCCGCAGTGCAGCTGTCATTCGGCTATCTGCGGTCAGCAACTGGTTTAAGGTTGTGTTGATCAGTTCTCGACATAAGAGGACAACCAGGCATAACTGGAAGGACCTTTTTCACTGCATGCTTGATTTTTCTGCCAAATGGTACATCAATAATAATTTTTATGGTCAAGTATAGTACTAAATAGGAAAACTATAGCAGGGTTGTGGAAATTTTTTTTTAAAAAACTACTTGTCCAGTGACTAAATCGGTGTCCCAATCTACTTGTCCCTCATGACAATCTACTTGGCCTGATAAAAACATAAATTTTAACCAAAACCGTATTTAAATCTGCTTTTAATGTCTGAGGCTTTTAAAAACAAAAAAGGCTTTATGGCGACTTAAACAAAATGTTAAAAATATTAAATGTTTATCTCCTCCCCTCCCTTCCTGTCTCCAGCACCAAACCCAGGGACTAGCAGGGAGCGAAGAGACCTTGCAGTGTAATGAGCACCGATTGGCTGCTCATCAGGAAAGGGGAGTGTCCCGCTTATCCTTTATCCCTTTTGCTGCCAGAGCTGTTTGTGTTTTTTGCACACGTTTAAATAGTTTTAGGCTGTAAGATTACACAAAACTCTCAAACATATATTTTCTGAAAGCAGAGACCCTAGAGAATAAAATAGTGATAGTTCCAATTTTGTATGTCACACAATATTGTCAAAGGTCTAGGAAACAAAATAAATTTCAGTAAAAAATACACTTAAAACGGAGTTCCACTCACGCTGTCAAAAAAAATAAGTCCGCAGCTACAAAAGCTGTAGCTGCTAACTTTTAAAAAAGCACACTCGCCTGTCCTGTGTGTTCCCTGCACCCCGTTTTACCTGCTGTCTTCTCTCCCTGGGCGCCGGCATCGTCGGTGTGGGAATCCCGCTGTGACAGCTTGCGGCTTCACAGCCGGGTACTCACTGTGCATGCGCAAGTAGTGCAGTGCTTCCTCAATGGTCCTGTAGTCTTCTGGGATCTGCCACGTGTCACAAAAGACTACGGGGAGAAAGGGAGGACACCTTTCACTTCCCAACCCCCCCCCCCCCCCCCCCGCCCCCCAAATGAGCCAATCCTTAATGGGGAGCGAGGGACCAGTCTTTAAAGTGGAACTCCGCTTTAAGTTAACTTTAGGGCACAAAAGCAATAAATTATCCCAATTTTTTTTCTTGTAAAATATAAATGACGAGGTTGCAGCAAGTAAATATCCAACTTGTCAAACTTTTAAGTTTGCGTGCGCTCGTGAAACGGAAACAAGCTTTTGTACCCTATATTTTCTATAGGCGATACTTTTAAAGCTCCTGATAGGTAATCAGTATAGTGTACGGAGGTCTGGTACTAGAATTATTGTCATTCTGGCATGCACGGCAATATGTAACATGTATCGCAATCCACGTTTTCTTGTGTAGGCACCAGAGTATGTGCTTTTATGTTTGTGCAGGCGAAATTGTGGGGGTTGGGGGCCTCGAAAAATTTGGGTTTTTTTTTGTTTTTTTTTATATGCTTGGGTGTAACTTCCATTTTATTTTTCTTTTACATTGTATAGGAGACAAAGTCCCCTATGTGATGACTTTGGTGACAGGTTCTCTTTTTGAGACATGCAGAGTCTAAAAGACCCTGCAGGTCTCCCCTGTGATCCACTGGATGTAATGCAGTGCACATTGCACCGCAATACATTCTTTCCCAGCCTCAATGCCTGGGAATCTGTCGAACTGGGACCCGGATGTGATGTCACATCCAGATCAGGAGAAGGGGAGGGGAGCAGATGTGTCTGCTCTCCTATGCCACATCCTGCGGCACCCGCCGAACCAGTCTCGGGCCCGCAGATGGGCAAGCGGAGCCCGGGACATAGAGCAGGGGTGAGGCTGACACTGTACGCTGTGTGGAAGCAATCGGGCGGTAGCGCTGCTTCCCTATTGCTTCCACCTGACAGGTGAGCCCTGCTGCTTACTTGCAGCAGGGCTAAGGGCAAAAAAAAAAACTCTGCCTGGAACTACATGTCTCGGGCGTCTGGCAATAGGAATTGGACATCCCTGTATAGAAAAGGTTTATGAAAGTATGTTAGCACAAATTTTCAACATTGTGTTCACAATTAGTGTTTGTTTCTCACAATTGAGAAACTCCCAAGATCACCAGTACTAGTTCTGTAGGTTTCAGAAAGAGTTGGGGTGACTTCATAAACTTTTGCCTACAACACAGGTGAGTGCAAGTTAAAAACATGCCAGAACATGCTCAAGTGCCTATGGATTAATTGTAAACGTCCTATAAATTCTCATGCCTCAGCACTATGCAAAGGAATATCAATAGCTTTGTGATGAAGCTTCTGAATTGGGTTTGTAGCGATGTTCTTGTGACAGAATAAATTATCACGGTGTTAGGCCCCTTGCACCCGGGGCAGTTTAGGATCAGTGCAGTGGCTTGTGCTGGTACAGGAATAGGTACAGCTTCTGGCCCTGCTGCAGGGTGTCTGACAGGCTGCTGAGTTCTGTACTGTTGTGTTTGGGGCCCTGTGTTTTACGGGCCACAGGTCTTTGGATCCAGCTGCTGCCTGTTATAGACCAAGGAAAGCCTGATACAAGTCCACCTAAGATTGATCTATTTGAAACCATGTTAGTAAGCCCAGGTGCATAATATATCTGATGTGCTGATGACTTGGAGGAATATCTTGGGAAAGCCATAAGGGGATCCTCCTGCATACAATCAATGCGTTGACCGTCTTAACCAGGGTCAAATAAATTTGGCGAGTGAGCAATTCACTTATTTCCTCTGCAGGGTGTGAAGGCACACAGGATACTGGTCTACAGCATTGTGGTTTGTCACTACAATATTTAATTCACGTTCACTTATTTGTATTACAAATCGGCACATTCACTCATGTCTATGTATTATGAAATGTATATGGTTTGTTTAGTTGTATAGTGCCTATCTATTTATGATTATAGACTGATGGGCTGCAGCAGGAAAGGCCTGGGTGCTGCATGTAGACAACCTTATTAGAGTAGCGTAGGATATGTAGCGTGCAAGAAAATTAAATGTCTGCAAAAAAGATGGAAGGTTTTTTTTTTGTTTTTGTTTGTTTTGGGTTTTTTTTTTTTTTTTTTTTTTTTTTTTGACCGAATATAAATTGTTTTACAATTTACAAATCCATTCCTTTTCTGCAGGCTGATAAACTGCTTTCTCAAGATTTTGTACAGATAATGGAGGATATTATTTCTACGCTACCTAAAAACAGACAGATTCTCCTTTATTCAGCCACTTTCCCTCTCAGTGTACAGAAATTCATGGTAAGCAGCTTGGTTTTAGATTTATCTAAATGATCCAATGATTGAATCACATGCACATATTGAATGTGGGTAGTGTGAAGTGATTATACTTGATCAGCCTCCTCCCTAAATGATGTGACAATTTAATTCCCGGAATGGACTGATAACCCTCTCTGCGTTCTTCAAAAGATCGGATGAAATTTGAAGACTACGTTCTTTCTGATCTGTCAAGATATGAGGAACTATCTTTGCAGAAATCTTTCATTCTCAAATCCTGTTATCTGCCACACTGAGTCAGAATGATGGTGAAAGAATTGAACATGAACAAGCAATCTTCGATATGAGCATACAAGGGTTTGCACTCCACATTTGCATCAGTCCTTTCCGTTTTTGGTAGCCTGCTTCTTGAGTCATTGTCAACATCTTCCTGCCCCTCCAACCACCTATGCCATTCAAAAACGCTTGCTTCATGGACTGTTCACCATAAGCCTGTTACAGAGCTAACGTTTTTGCTAATTTTTATGCAAAATTTGTTAATCTACTGCCCTAGGTTCCTGCAACTCATTCTCCATCGACAGCGCAATGCACACATTTTGGTTCTACTACTCTGTAGTCAACTGGTCTGTGACCCAGGCACATGAACATGTCAGAACATTCTCGAATGAACACATAGGATACAATGCAGACAGCAGAGCCCAAGATTGAGTCCACAGGTGTGCCACAATATAATGCTTCTTGCTATGGTGGCACACAAGAGGAGAACCCAGGATTGCTGGTGGGGGAACCGGAGGAGGATCAGAGTACCCTATCAAAAGGTAGACAAAAGGTTTATCCCTTACCTATGTTCCAGCTGTGAGCATAGTATGGATTTTAACAGCCAACTCTCTGCTTTCAAGTGATTTTGGGTGACTCCAGAGCTGCTCGATAACTTTCACGAGGCACAAAGTTATTTCCAGCGAAAATGCACACTTTTTTTTTTTTTTTTTTTTTTTTTTTTTTTTTTACGTGTGGGCGATTTTCTTTTTTTGTAAAAGCCATCCTACGTCCTAAATAACTGCTGAAATACTTTTACAGGAAGCAGGAAAGGTAGTCACCTGTCCCCCCCCCCCCCCCCCCCCCTTGTGTTTTTGTTTTCCCTAAAGTGGCATTGTGTTACTGTGCATTAAAATTCATTAGTGTTTTTTTCCAAAATGCGTTGGAGAAACCACTGCACAAATACCATGTGACAAAAGTAACGCCCAGCATTTTATGCTCTAGGGCAAGGGTGTCAAACCGGTGGCCCTCCAGCTGTTGTGAAACTACAAGTCCCATCATGCCTTTGGGAGATATGCTTGTAACTGTACAGCTGGAGGGCTGCCATTTTGACAAGCGTGCTCTAGGGTGTCTGCTTTAAAATTTTTGGGGTTTCAAAGTTCTTTTCTAGCAAAACCTGATTTTTAAAATGGCTAGGCAGTTTTTTTGCTATACAGCACTGCATTACTTTGACAATTGTGCAGTCCTGCAAACAGTGTACATAAAAATTTATTTTTTTTTCTTTGAAATTTGATCACCACTGTTTTTTTTTTTTTGCACTATAAAAAAAGAAAAAAAAAATTTGAAACATGTTTTACTTTTTGCGATTTAATAAAGAAATGTATTCCTACATTTTGGCCAAAATGTATTCTGCTTCGTGTCTTTTGATATATGAAGAAAAAAATATTCCAGTAAGTGTATATTGATTAGTTTGCATGAACATTATAGCGTCTATGAAGGTTTTGTGTGTGTACTGAATTTTTTTTTTAAACTAGTAATGGCAGGGATCAGTGACTTATAGTAAGACTGTGATAGTGTGGTGGGCAATCTGACAATGAGTGGGAACTGACTGCCACTGACATCACCAGTGACACTAATACAGTGATCAGTTTTAATATGCACTCCCTGTACTAATGACACTGGGTAGGAATGAGTTAACATCTGGGACAGTAATCAAAAGGCTAACGGTGTGCTGTTTTTACTGGGGGATGTGACTGGTTTTTTTTATATCCTGCTCTGCAGGGTGACCAAAAGCAGCACATCCCCTTTGTCAGAGAGGTCTGTGTTTTTTACCAACACATATCTCTCTCCTGTCTGCTCTGCTCATCAGTGGGTCCCTCAGTCATTGGCCGGGACCTGCTGATCGTCTAAGAAAAGCTGGTGATGTGATTCTGCGCAGCCGGCCTGCACTATAGCCGTAAAACTACAGTGGCGTGGTTGACAAGCGGTTAGTGGTTAAATCTGCTTAGTTTCATATCACTTCAATAAGACTGGTTTTTGATTGGCCACATAGGCACTGTTGTAAGTTTACCTCTTAAGTTGTCTTTTTTTTTTTTTTTCTCTAATCTTTATCTAGTCCTCCCACTTGCAAAAACCATATGAGATCAACCTGATGGAAGAGCTTACGTTGAAGGGAGTTACACAGTACTATGCCTATGTTACAGAAAGGCAAAAGGTTCACTGCCTTAACACACTTTTTTCAAGGGTAAGTGTCACAATCGTCTGTTTACAGTTCCACATCATGTATTCTCTTCTGAGGTTGCTATTTGTGCTTGACTGTTTAGAGCTTTATGCAGACTGTTTTGTATTTGGTGTGGGCTTTAGCTATATTTTTTATATTCCACCCATTTTCATTTTGTCTTGACTAGGGTGTGTTTTTAACCACTTGCCCTCTGGAATATTTACACCCCCCCTTCGTGTCCAGGCCATTTTTTGTGATATGTGCGACGTTACTTTTGCAATTGCGCAGTTGTACAGCATTGTACATAAAATGTCGTCGTCCTCCCTCTTCTCCCCCCCCCCCCAATAAATAGAGCTTTCTTTTGGTGATATTAGATCACCTCTGCGGTTTTGTTTGGTTTTATTGCTTATGTTTTTTTGTGCTATAAACAAGACTGCCAAATTTGAAAACCTTTTTTGCTATAAAACCTATCCAATAAAATATAAATTCCTCATGATTTAATACACAATGTATTCTGCTACATGTGTGTAAAAAAAAAAAAAAAAAAAAAAAAAAGTCCCGACGTATATTGATTTACGTGAAAGTTCTAGCGTCAAAAAATGGCGGTATGTATTTTTTTTTTTTTTCTTATACTAGTCATATCAATGACTTATCGGCACTGTGGCAGTCTTTCTCACTGGGTGGGAACTGTCACAGACATCTCTAGTGACACAATACAGTGATCAGTGGTCATAAGAACTGACACTGGGCAGGAAGGGGTTAACATCTGGGGCAAAGGGTTAACTGTGTATTGTGGTGGTCTACTAGGGGACGTGCTGCTTTCTCTTTGCAGAGAGCTTTTGTCAGTCTCTGATGATCAGAGTCCCAGCCATGAATCACTGGTGACCACTCAACATTTTGTACCTAGTGTTACTAAACCCAGGACCATGCATTCATTATATCCAGTCTACCACAGTATACTGAACATGAAAATGCAATTTTAGTAAATTTAAACTGCTAAATAACTTTTCTCATTGGCAATTAGAGCAGTTTTGTTTTAGTGGCAGACCATTTCAGAGGTTTTACTCCAACCTGTTCCAAACACAAAGGGGGGCATCTGCCCCACCTTGAATCTAAAAGCATTGAATGTCTTCAAGCTCAAATTCTGCATGGAAACCATCAGATCTCAAAGCTTTCCTTCACAAGGGAGACTTTCTAGCTTTAGTGCACTACAAGGCCACATACCTACATGTCTCATCTTGAGGCAGTTCTGTTTGCATGCCAGACCTCAAGTGCAACATTATGCTGTCATGGGCCAGGCCTGTTCATTCTTTGACTTGGGTTACATAGAAACATAAAGTGACGGCAGAGAGACAGTGGCTCATCGAGTCTGACCGGGTTGTTGTTTTTTTTTTTGTTTTTTTTTTTTTTTTTTGTTTTTTTTTGTTTTTATAATTTAAACTTTTATGTCTGAGTATAGACCTATGCTTCTCCCACGCATGTTTGAAGCTATTTATTGTTGACTGGCTCACTACCTCTGCTGGAAGTTTATTCCAAGAATCAACTACTTTCGTTAAAATAGTACTTTCTGAGATTAGTTTGACACTTTCCTCCAGTTAGTTTAAGGTCATGTCACCGTGTTCTTTATTTTGGTTTCATGTTGAAATACTACCCTCCTGAACCTCATTTACCCCCTTGATGTATTTAAAGATTTCAATTGTGTCTCCTCTTTCCCTTCTCTCCTTCAGACTGTACATGTTAAGTTCTTGAAGTCACTCTATATGTTTTATCCCCCCCCAGACCTTTCACTATTTTTGTTACCTGTCTCTGGACTCGTTCTGTCTTATCAGTATCTTAAATGAGGTCTAACTCTACATCTATGTAGAGCAGGGGTGTCAAACTGGCAGCCCTCTTGCTGTTGCCAAACTAGAAGTCCTAGAGTAAAAGCATGACTCCCAAAGGCGGAGGAATGATGGGGCTTGTAGTTTCGCAACATCTGGAGGGCCGCCAGTTTAACACCCCTGATGCAAAGGAATTAGGACTGCTTTCCTCCTGCTGGTGACCCCTCTAGTGATGCATCCTAGAATTCTGTTTGCTTTCCCCACTGCCTGGCCACATTGCTCATTTTGCAATAATTTGAAATAAATACCCCCAAAGTCCTTTTCCTGTTGGCCAACAATGTATCCCCAATGTTGTACTCAAGGGATTTTTCCCCCTAAATGCATTATTTTAAATTTAGAAACATTGAACTGCATTTTCCACTTTTTTGACCAATCATACAGCAATGCCAAATCATGTTCCATGTTACAAACACCTCCAGGGATATCCACCTTATTGCACACCCTTGTGTCATCAGCAAATGGGTTACAATGTCGCTGCTTTCTTTGTGGCTTTGGTATCCAGCTCTGGAATATGATGTCCTTCCTTGGGTCTTTAGTCCTCCCAACATATACCAGCTATGTTGGGCTGTGGAGTTCTTGGGCACCTTGTCTGTATTGAGTCAGAAAATCACATCAGTGGCCTACATCCACCATCAGGGAGGAAATCTCTCCGCAGCAATAGGTAGATTGCATCCTGACTTTAGCAGCAAAACTTTACATTACAACCTTTTCTCCCATGTACTTTCCAGGCATGGACAATTGGCAGGCAAACTTTTAAGCTGTCAAAATGTGGCCCCTACACCGGACTTTAGTCATTAACAAATGGGGAAGGTTTTTCTCCAGGTACAGGGATCCTCTAGTGGAAGTTAAAACCTTTTTATCAGGTTTCACATGTGTTGAGGCCTGGGGGGGGGGGGGGGTTTGCCCTGTTAGTGTTTGCTGTGTTGCCCACCCATCATTTGGACTGCAGTGGTGAAACACTGTGTCCCACAAGAGGATAAGAGAATATAGGACTTTTCCTTTTTTTTTTTTTTTTTTTTTTTTTTTCTTTTGTGGCACGTACAAAAATCCTAGTTTATCTCCAAAAGGATGCAAAAATGTTTGGGGTTGGTTTGTTTTTCTCCCCCCTCAGCCACTTCAGGATTATAGCGCAATAAAACACCACCTGCGCATATGTGGTGGACTGATTCCGGAACTTGTACATATAGAATTGGAGATATAAACATAGCACCTTGCTGCCCTCTCTGGACTGGTGATGAAATGGAGGGTACACCAACCTAGTGCATTCTCCAAAACAATTTAAAAAACACATTATACAGATGTCCAGACTGGCAAAGCATCTCGGTAATACAACTGGTTCATCTGATCCACTTGCGCCTGGGCTTGGAAGTAATTGACGATCCTAATGGCTTACGTGTTTTGAAGGCAGTACCCTTTTCCTCAGCCCAAACCGATCTTTATGTAAATGGCTGTGGAGATAATGCGCTAGGCTGGTGCGCCCTCTGTGTTGCTTCAGGATTGTAGCCTTTCCACTACAGGCCCAAAAGAATCGTTCCCATTTCAAATAAGTTTTTTGGACAAATTAATTTCTTACCTGCTATTTAACTGCTTGCCCACTGCCTCATAGCAAATGTACCGCTACAGGGTGGCTGTGCAAAATCACGTAAAATATAAATGATTTTGCATTTCCGGGAAGGGGGTGTGGAGGATGTCAGTGTTCGGCTGGGACTTTGTCCACAAAGTTTGAGAGGGAAGAGATCTGTGTAAACACGGGTCTCTGCTGTGAAGCCAGTCCATGCTGACAGAAGAGTGCACAGCACAGCAGTTAATCACTCCGACAGTTTGATCGCCCCAGATGTTAACCCCTTTCTGCCCACTGTCATTAGTACAGTGTCAGTGCTTTTTATTGGACTGATCATTGTATTAGTGTCACTAGAGATGTCAGTGGCAGTTGGCTCCCACCCAGTGTCAAAATGCCCGCAGCAGTCCCGCTATAAGTCGCTGATCACTGCCATTAGTAGTGTAAAAAAAAAAAAAAAAAATTCCAGTGTATATATACCACCATTTGTAGACGCTATAACTTAAACGTAAACCAATTAATATACTTAGTGGGTTTTTGTTTTCAAATTCAGTTTTATAGCGCAGAAAATAAAATCTGCGGCGATGATCAAATACTACCGAAAGAAAGCTGTGGGGAAAAGATGACATACATTTCATTTATGTACAGCGTTGCATGACCGTGCAGTTGTCAAAGCAATACAGTGCAGTTTCTCAGAAATGGCCTTGTCAGGAAGGGGGTAAATCTTTCGGAGGGCAAGTGGTTAATATGTTAGTGTTTCCAATATATGGAACCGTTACCGAAATTATGTAATAGAAAAAAAAAAAAAAAAAACAAGAAAATGGCCAAATGTTTAGTTCCTTTCTCTAGTGATAAAAAAACTCTTGCATTGCTTCAATGTATCCGGAGAGCTGTAGGTTGTATGCCCATTGAAATTACACAACTAATCATCGCTTTTGATTGTTCCTTTACAGCTTCAGATTAACCAGTCAATTATCTTCTGCAACTCATCTCAGCGGGTAGAGCTATTGGCCAAGAAAATATCTCAGCTGGGCTATTCGTGCTTCTATATACATGCAAAGATGAGACAGGTCTGTAACACTATATGATTTTTTTTTTTTCTCCCGAGGGGTTTTTTAAAAATGTAACTTAATTCAGCGCGTTTAAGTCCTCATGCACACTGTTTTTACAGCTGCTGTTTTTGGATTTGACTTTTTTTTTTTTTTTCTACAGCTAGTAAAATGTTCTGCATGTTATCCTATGTGTTCATACACCGTTTTTTGGCTGGTAAAAAAAAACTCAGGATTAGTTTTTCCAGAGGATTTTTTTTCAGCTGTAAAAGCTCTCAGCCGCTGAAAAACAGGCATTTTTTGACTGACAAAAAAAAAATTTTTTTTTTTGACTGTAGACGTGAAAAATTGCGCTAAACACCAATGCAAAAACACTAAAAAAAAAGCTGAAAAAAAACATTTTTAACTTGACTTTACACAGCTAACGTTACCAGTGTTATCAATGTCCAGTGTGCAGGAGGACTAAAGAACACCTGTCATTTTAAACTGCATTTTTCCATCTACCTTGAGGGCTCTGTCACAACCTTTTTGATTGCATAAATATTGCGTTTCTGACAGGCAAAAAAAATTATCTATTCAACTGACCCAGTTTCTCCAATGCTGTGCATTGCAGCATGTAAACTTTTTTTTTTTTTTTTTTTTTTTTTTTTTTTTTTTTTGCAACAGATTTGAGCTAAACTTCTGACTTTGTTGCATACATGTTGGAGTCTGTGACTTGGATATTTCAAACCAGGGAAGGCAATTCATTTTTTTGTGAAGGCTAGCAAGAACTGCTTTCTGCAGTTTTATTTATAATTTCTACATATTTGGTGACTAATACCTATAGTGTACTGTAAGGGTTTTGGTTTGGGTCACATAATGCAGTGGAGCAGGGCCGAAAAATGCTGATCTGTGGCCATGTTGGCAAGCAGCTCTGTGTGGGCATACGTGAGCATTTTTAAACAAGCGTGTGTTTTTGTCCAACATCGCCTACAATGCCTGGTTTTAGTGACTATTATTGTATGTTTTAACTGAATGCTGTTGGTGACAGAAGTTGCCAAATTGTAAGCTTCACGCCTGCTGCCTCCTGGCCATTTAAGGGGTTTCTGATGCAGGGGGCGGGGGTTTAGTCATGCGACCGCCGTGATTGGCTGTCACGGCAGTCGCATGATCACAAAGGTCCCAATCGCAAGGAGAGATTGGGACCTTTCCGTAGGACACCGACATGTGCAGGGTGCCCGCTCTCAGCACATGTTTACAAATGGTGTGTGAATATGCGACCACTCAGCATCACGCCAAGAGGACGCATATTTGCGTATGCTCGGCGTGAAGAGGTAAAGTAGAACTATAAGCAAAACCTTTTTTTGCGTGGGTTTTTTTTCCCCACTTCCTGTCCCATGGCAAAAACAGGAAGTTAGAGGAAGTCCCTGCAAATTAAGGTAATTCCTTGGACCCACTCCCAGATCACTAGAACTAGTGTCTCCATTATGAGATTTCCCCGTTACTCTTCTGGGGACAACCCAAAAACAGTGTTTTTTTTTTTTTTTTTTTTTTTTTTTGTCAAGCCGGTGTGCTGAACAAGAACTTTTCCAACTTCCACACATTCGATGTAGATGGGGGAATACTCCTACCTGCACTAGTTTATTCCAAGAGTGGAGTCCCCCCCACTGTCAGAATACGAATTTCAGTTCTGCTTCTACAGCTGCGTCGCTCCTTCAGAGATCTGTGAATGAATTAACAAAGTACAGTCTGCCCCAGGGCAGGTGGCTTATACATTTTAATGGATTGCTCTGGCACTGAATAGCACCCCTGTAGTCCACTCTTCCCTCAGCTCTGAAACTGACAGCCCATGAAGAGGTATTGGCACAGAGATGTAGGAAGAGAATGCAGGAGCCTGACATTGCGCCCAAGATCCACTAATTGCTGGTGCAATGCTCTGCAGGTGCCTGAAGAAAAAAATAATGAAAAATGCACTTATTTAAGTGAATTTGGTCTTTAATATATGCAGGGATCTGAGATCTACCAGTGAAGGTTAAACTAGGTGAAAGTTCACTCTGTAGATTTTGGTTGTAAATCACCTGTTTTTAAAGGTTTAGGTTTATAATGTGATCTGATCACATTGAAGTTCACAAATTGACTGCTAAAGAAATTTTGATCAAGGCCCAATCCAGTGTAATTACCTTCTATTAGGGATGACTGTGAGGAATGCAATATAACTTTTGTAACTTTTCTTTTTAGGAGCACAGGAATAGAGTTTTCCACGATTTCAGAAATGGCTTATGCCGAAACCTTGTTTGCACTGGTAAGTTGTTAACCTATTGCGTGAAACTTATGTAATGGAGTTCTTGTATATGGCAGGCTTGTGGCTTCTGTTGCCAGTTAGCAGGAAAGGCTATATCTTACTGGCCTGTAGCATGCTGGCCTCTTTAGTTTCTAACACAAACCAATGTTCTGAAACATAAAGGTCAACTCTTTCTGACCATGTTTAATATTACACCCAACAGGGAGAACCAAGCCCCCCTCCCCTCTCTATTTAGCATGCATTATGTATTGTCCCCCATTGTAATGTACAGCGCTGAGCGAACCGTTGGCACTATATAAATACTGTATAATAATGACGCATGGCCAGTGTGTGCAGCCTGCCTCGTTTTCTTCCTTTCCCGCAGGAATTTTTTTTTTTTTTTTTTTTTTTTTTTGAGGGGGGCTTGGCTTCTACTAAATTTGAAATTGGATACCGTATTTTATCTAGTCTGTTGTAAACACAGCTAACACAAATACACAAGGATGAAACCGCTAAAACCCTAAAGCATAAGTCTAACTTTCACCCTTGAAAGTGTAATAATCTTAATACCCCAATATGCTCAAACATACTAGATACAAAAAAATCAATCAAAAATGTGGAACATAATCACCAAAAAATTATACACGTGTCCAAAATTGGTCATTCCAAATTCTGATTCCAAAGGAACAAATCCAAATCCTGATTTGCAAGCCCTCCAAATGGCTCCAATGGACAATGTGAACCTCAAAAAAAAAAAAACTTATATAGCGCTTTACCCTTCTAAACAAATGATCAAAATTAACTACCGTATATGCAATATGCTCTGTGCAACTTCACATCAAGCGTGACTACATAAGTGAAAAGTGAGCACTGTGTAACAACCGTGACTGTGAATCGCTCTTGTGAATAAAATCCAAGTGACAATAACCGTGTACACTTCTACAGTGTAAGAAATAAATACCCTTACCAAATGGCCATAAAACCACGCCTTAATATCACAAAGGGTATATTGCATTTATTCCAAGGACTTCCTTCCCAGCCTGAGTATTACTCTTTATGATGTCCTCACAGCCTTATAGATCCTTCTCCTAGATGTAGTCGGGGCTTTAGTAGAAGTACTCCATAGTACTCATAGTACCCATGCTCCACAGATGTACATGATATATGGAAAGGATATAGTGTAATTCTGTATATATAATGTTCAGAATATACTTTATTATTGCTCTTTAATATTAAAACCGCCATATTCCCATGACTCCAAACCTCTGCAGTGTCCGAGCAGCTTTTGGAGATTTTTTTTCACTTTTTTTTTATTCTATTGAGTTTTTTTTTTTTTTTTTTGTATCTAGTATGGTTTGTTTACAACCGCATCATTCATTCTCAGGACAAGGTGACTGAAAAAACGAGTCCTGTCTGCCACCACAGCAGAGGGACTTTGTTTCAATGCAGTGCTGCAGTTGTGGGCCATTCACACTTGCTGTGGCTCTGTAACCGAAGGCTTGTACCTCTGTACAGATAAGCAGCTGCAGAGTGCAGGAGCCTGCTCACCTACTGATTGCTTGCGGGTGCAATGCTTTCCAGATTCCTACATAAGATGATTTATGGTTTGTCTTCTGCCCACCATATAAAGGATGGGCGGTGGCTCTGTTGTGGGAAGGTGTCATATGACAATCTCCCACTCCCTGGGACACCATAGATCACCGATCACAGTAAAGAGCCGATTACACAGGCTCTATCATGTTATCAGCTGTGTCCAATCACTGCTGATCGCATGAAAACAAGGAAATGCTTGCTATCGGCAGTCCTCTCCTCACACTGACAGCATGTGAGGAGAGCCGGTAAGCGGCATTCTTCAGAGGGGACATGTACACTGATTATCAATGTAGGCCCATCCGTTTTTCAAAATTTTCAGTCCCCCCCAAAAGGTATTACACTTAAATTAAAACCTATTCTATCCACAACATCTCATTGCCTGAATCCGCCACACTAAACCTTTTATAGAAAACATATCAAAACCTACATGTAGGCTGCCATTGCTCATTCTTGACCTTGCTATTCTGGCTGTGATGCTTTGACTTCAGTATTTCAAATCAATGACCACAGACAAGTATAAATGCAGAATTTCGACTATTTGCTGCATGTTTCTTTAGGTTGGTGATTTAATTGCTGACGCCAAAGACAGCTAGTTGGCACTTTCAGGAATTAGTTGAAAGCAGCCCACACTTCTTTAAATCATCCATCCAATTTCCTAGAAATTAAAAAAAAAACAAACAAAAACCCACAAACTTGTCCAAGATGGAAATGCAAAAAGGTACAAATGTGTTGCCTTTTTTTCTTTTTTTTTTTTTTTTTTTCTGTACATGATTGTCTTCTGAAATTAGCTTTAACTGTGGTTCCATTTTTTATTTTTTTAAGATTTGTTTACCCGTGGTATTGATATTCAAGCTGTGAATGTGGTGATAAACTTTGACTTTCCAAAGTTGGCAGAGACCTATCTACATCGCATAGGCAGATCAGGTAAGCATTTTTGAAGTGAGATTTTCCTGAGCAAGGTCACCCATTGCAAGTTTGTAGCTAGCCGTGCATGTATAACCCAGATGACCATTCTTAGGAACAATTATGCAGTCTGTTTTGTAAGCAGCTTTAGCCTAACTTTATGCCTAAAGCTGTGTGTTTTTTGTTTTTTTTTAAGCTGTAAATAAGGGAATTTGGGAAAATCTGCCTATTTCATCTTGAGTGTTATGCTGATTGGTTTTCATGTGGTCATTGTGAGGTTTGTCATGGAAGTCTGCCTTTACTTTATAGTAGTAGTGTTTCGAGGTACAAAAAGGTGAGGCAACTGCTAGTGCAAAAATGATTATGGATAAACTGCATAGATCTGAGGTGGGCCTGAGATGTGATTTCAAAGAAACTTTTTGTAATTCTTAAAGCATGCTTTTGTGCGATGACATTTTTGCATATTGAATCTTAAAGTTGATTTGTTTAACAGGTCGTTTTGGCCATCTTGGGCTTGCTATCAACCTGATCACCTACGATGACAGATTTAACCTTAAAAGTATTGAAGAGCAGCTGGGAACAGAGATCAAGCCCATACCCACCAGTATCGACAAAAGCCTCTATGTGGCAGAGTATCACAGCGAGTCTGGAGAGGAGAAACATTAATCTGCAAGTCAGTGTTTCATTTTGTGGCTTATTTTGACTTAAAGTGCAAGTTTTTTTGTCAACTTTAATTTGGGTTCTCTTTGCTCCTTTAAAAAAAAAAAAAAAAAGTTGCATGCAAAGCAGGAAGGTTTTGAATCTGCAGACAAATGTTAAAGCAGCTGGCTAACCATATTTCCCAAGTTGTCCTCCAGGATGGTCACAGGCGATGGCCTTGCAACTCCTACAGAAAACAGGCACAGACAGATTTAAAAGGTTTCCCGAGAAGGCTGCCCTTAGGTTCTGGTTTCCTGTATCCTGCAAACATCGGCACAGCACCTTGGTGTTTTTTTTTTTTTTCTTTTTGTTTAGGTTTTTAAATTCAGGTCTCCCTGAATACCTCTTGCGCGCCCCCCCCCCTCCTGCATTAGGTGGTCCTGCTGCAGTTTGGGGGGGGGGGGGGTGTCAGAGGATTCTGTAAAGGGGGGGGGCGGCGCAGTTGGGGCTCTGAAAATTCATCCCCTTCCCCTTTTTTGTTTTCTTATGGGAGCTCAATTTTAGATCCCTCTAGCACCCTAGGTTGGTGTTAGTGTGTGGAGCCAAGGATAGGCTTACTATTGTGCTGGACTGGAGGTCCTGGGGATAGGTGCATGTCTGCCATATCCCTTCTGGTGGCTCACAGGGGAGAGGGTGCTCTCCCCAGTGTGGCGGATCACTGAGAGCCTGGATTAAATCCTTGATTTTACGATTTAGTCATCCATTTTCACTCAGTCACTGACCTGCTACAGGTATAAGAAAAACCCCTAAGCAATACTTCTGCAATACAGATTAGTGATTGCAGATCACTTTTGAAAGTATGGCTACAGCTCTTTTGACCATACTTTTCATTCAGGTCACAAAAGAGCACATAGTTCTAAAGCCTGCTGTCAGCTGACATCGCAGAGCTGGTCCAGACACTGCAGGATCCTGACAATATTGCAATCAGCCCAGATGACTGACTGGCAGCTGATTCAGCCTCTCGCTAGCTGCTGAGAGCCTGAGCCCAGCCATTCCTGCCCCCTCTACAGCCCAGCACTACAGTGAGTGCAGAAAGCTGGTGACTGGTAGTCTCTGCTCAGTGAAGGGTAAAACAGCGATCATGTGATTGCTCGGTCTAGGAGCCAGTAGGGTCTACACACCCCTGTTAAAATGTCGGGTTTCTGTGATGTAAAATAATGAGACAAAGATAAATCATTTCAGAACTTTTTCCACCTTTTTTTTAAAACTCAACAAACAAGTCTTTTTAGGTGGAGGGAAGTAAAAATAAAGAACTAAAATAATATGGTTGCATAAGTGTGCACACCCTTAAATTAATACTTTGTTGAAGCACCTTTTGATTTGATTCCAGCACTCAGTTTTTTTGGGTATGAGTATCAGCATGGCACATGTTGACTTGTCAATATTTGCCCACTCTTCCTTGCAAAAACACTCCAAGTCTGTCTGATTGCAAAGGCATCTACTGTGCACAGCCCTCTTCAGATCACCGTACACATTTTTGATTGGTTTCAGGTCTTGGCTTCTGGCTGGGCCATTACAGATTCTTTAATCATCTTCTGGTGAAGCCTTTCCTTTATTGATTTGGATGTAGGCTTTGGGTCATTGTCATGCTGAAAGATGAAGTTCCTCTTCATGTTCAGCTTCCTAGAAGAGGCCTGAAGGTTTTGTGCCAATATTGACTGGTATTTGGAACTGCTCAGAATTCCCTCTACCTTGACTCAGACCCCAGTTCCAGCTGAAGAGAAACCGCCCCAAAGCATTATGCTGCCACCACCATTCTTCATTGTGGATGTTTTGGTGCAAAAACACCACTGTAGATCACTAAAACATATCTTTTGGAATTATGGCCAAAAAGTTCAACCTTGGTTTCATCGGACCATAACACATTTTCTCACATGCTTGGAAGACTTCAGATGTGTTTCTGCAAAATTTATCCAGGTTTGGATGCTTATCTTCAGAAAAGGTTTCCGTCTTGCCACTCTACCCCATAGCCCAGACATATGAAGAATACAGGAGATTGTTGTCACATGTCACCACACAGCCAGTACTTGCCATATATTCCTGCAGCTCCTTTAATGTTGCTGTAGCCCTCTTGGCAGCCTCCCAGACCAGTTTTCTTGTCTCCATCAATTTTGGAGGGACGTCCAGTTCTTGGTAATGTCGCTGTTGCGCAATATTGTCTCCACTTGATGACTGTCTTCATTGTGTTCCATTGTATATCTAATTCCATGGAAATTCTTTTGTACCCTTCTCCTGACTGATACCTTTTAACAATGAGATCCCTGTGATGCTTTAGAAGCTCTCTGCAGACCATGGCGTTTCCTGTAGGATGCGACTAAGAAAATGTCAGGAAAGACCTACTAGAACAGCTGAACGTTATTTGGGGTTAATCAGAGGCACTTTAAATGATGGCAGGTGTGTACTGACTACTACTTAACATGATTTTGAATGTGGTTGCTTTAATTCTGAACACCGCTACATCCTCGGTTATAAGAGGGTGTACACACTTATGCAACCACATTATTTTAGTTTTGTTTACTTCCCCCTCCACCACCTGAAAGATTTCAGTTTGTTTTTCAATGGAGTTGTACAGTTTGTAGGTCACAGTAAAGTTGGAAAGTTCTGAAATGATTTCTCATTATTATTTTTTTACATCACAGAAACCTGACATGTTAACGGGTGTGTAGACTTTATATACACAGTAGGTTAGTGTACCTTTTTTTTATTTTATCTCTTTTGTTTTTTTTTTATTTTTTTATTTTTTTACACTAAGTGTGGATTGCTAATTCGTTTTAATTTTCTTTATTTTAGGCATGGTCTGGCCCCGAGAAGATGAGGATCCCAACATGCATAATTTTCTTGATGAGGGCTTCTTCCCCCCTTTCATGGCTTTTTCCTCCTGCCTTCTAGGACACTTACCAGCAGTTTTGAGCCTGAATTTTTTTTTCTTCCCCCTCAGACATTTTTAATTACCCCATTGTTTGCACTGTGTGCTCATAAGATTAATGTAGTTGCACTTATTTGTTTTCTCATTCTGTTCCGTTGGGAGAGGGAGTGCATAATAGAAAACCTTCTGGCCACTTTTCTGCTTGAGGACCCTTGCACTATTATATGCTTATAATGGTTTTGTTTTCACCTGGGTCAGCAATGCAATACTTGGTTTAGGAAGTCCCTTCAGTTGGAAAGTTGCATACAGTTGAAAACTGGTTTGTCATTATTCCTGTACACCTTTGTGGCAGTTTAGAGTTCATGTTTTAATGATATTCCATAAGCAAACTATTTTACTTGTGCAAAAGTGCCTTATGTATAAGACCTTTCATGCAGCCCTTATAAGACAAACACAATATTTCCTTTTTTTTTTCTTAACCATATGTGGAATTTGCAAATCATGAACTACTTAGCTGTAAAACTGTTCATGCATACTTTCATCTGAAAAATCAAAAGCTTGCTTCAGGGGTCCCAATGATATGTAAATATGTACACCTGTAATTACACAAGCAAAAAATGAGAGCCCGAGTCAGAAAACAGTTTAGGAAGTAAACTCATTTTTCAGTCCTCTCCACCTTATTGCAGTTGCTATTTGATTTTTGTTCTTTTTTGAACACTAAATGTGTAATTTTTATTAACCTGCAAGCAACATTTTGTGTTCAGATATAATACAAATCCATACCCCTCTCTTTCAAGATGTCCATTGCATGAGGGGAGAATTCTGTTGGATTTGATGTGTATACTTGTACAAAACTGTAAATATATATATATACATTTTTTTATGGGGGAGGTATAAATTTTAGTTTTGTCTTTGATGGTTTACTGAAGGTTTCTTTGTGAATTAGGACCTCATCTAAATTCTATAGTTGGGTAGGAAGCCTTTGGCACTTCAGCTGTTGTGACACATCCCATGAAGCATTGCAAGACTCTTGACAGCCACAGGCTTGACTCCCAGAGGTAGATGCATTTGAGGAATTTGTAGCTTCACCACAGCTGGAGTTCTAAGAGTTGCCCACCCCTGTTTAGAGGCTCATTCTTGCAACGTTTGGGGTTTTCTGGAAATGGTATTTCCTCCATAATTCTAAATGGATTGATTTTTACTCCATCCTTTAATTTTTGGGGTATTACTCAATGAAATGCCTTTTTTGTTCCCCTCTAAATATTAGGAGTAACCATCACTGAAGTTTTTGCCCCTTCCCACACCACCTGGATTGTGCAGCCATAATATATCCCCTTTATTTGTTTTAAGGTTTATGCTAGAATTTGTTCTACAATTTTTAGTATTGCATGTCCAGGTGCCCCTTGGAAGCACAGGAATTGGCAACTGCTGTGTAATCATTTACAAGGTTGCAAGCAGAAATAATTGGCAAAAAGTCATTAATGGGGATAGTTTAACTTTCGATTTGCAGCTGTTCTGCTACTGAAATCTTTCCTGTGCATTTATTTCATTGATTGGGATCATGGTGCAATAAATGACTTTCTTTGCCCAGTTATTCTGTTGAAGCTGCACCTGTCATCGTGCAGTGTTTTACTGCAACTTCAAGTGGCAGTGTTGCTGGTGCTAAAGCTATGATCCACCCATGAAGTCTTTTCCCCACCACTAAACTTTAAACCTCCTATATACACAAGAGGTTTAGTGCTCAGTTTCTATATTGCACAAGGAGTTTACACACTGAGCACCCTAGAAATATTATGGCAGCAGTTTTGAAGTTGCCTTTGCTAAGGTGCTGTCTAGGTATTCAATATTGAGGAACATAATTGAAGGCAAAGTAAAAGATGCTCTACAATAACATGGTTTTTGTCCCTTTTTTCATTTAAGTTGTACGCTTGAAATCTTTCAAGTTGCAGTCTTCCAAAGATTGACAGATAACAGATTTGTTTTTGTATACAAATGACCATTACTTTTGAGTTTTAATAAAATGACTGCAATTGATGTCTGGCAGCAAATTTGGTCTAAGAGCTGCCAGTGGAGCTTTTGAAAAGACTGTAAAAGAGCTTCA